ATCATTTTCATCAGTTGTTATAGTTTAAAAAGTGTTCTAATCATGATAGATAACCTGAATCATATTTTTATTTTATTTATTTTAATTTTTTAAATTTTATCTTTTAAACTTGATTAAAATGTAGCATCTCTCATTTTAGAAATTTTCTACCATATAACTTTTAATATGTAATAAATATCATCATTCTGAGCATTTTGACTGGTTAATATTAAAATTTTACTCGATGATTTTACTTATATGTCATTTTAAATGAAAAAAAGTTATATAATATTAATTATAAAATGATTTGGAATCAATGTACTACATTTTGAAAAGAAATATGTTATATACATATATTTATTGTTTATTTGGCAAAATATGTATTTTTTTATGGACTGCATGACTACTAATAAGTATATTAGAAATTGTATTTGATTATATGTGATGTTGGCTACTATAATTTATATGATATAAAATGTGTGTAAAATTAAGAAAGGCTAGCTAGGAATGTTTGACTGATTCAAGTTGACTAAAGACATGTTACCATATACAATAAGGTGGACCAATGAGTATTCCTTTAAATAAGATTTATGATGTAATTCTAAGTAATATGAAAAATGGAGATATAAGAAACGTGATTGAGAATGATATGCTGACAGGCGAAAAGTGGTGGCTTCCTACATGAAAGCCACCTAGCTGATAACTTTTGATATATAATATGAGATTGATTCCTGAAAATAAGATTGATATAATTGATAATGGTTTCTAGGGATTTCTTATAAGATCAGATACAAGAAAAATGACACATATAGTTGGATATCCAATCTTGCTTTTACTGTTTATATATATATTATCATACTTGATATATTGCATAAATGACATAATATGATATGACATGTATATGATATAGGACATGATTGATACATGCAAGTGATATAGCTGGTGAGATTGATACAATGGCACATGATTCACATAAACTATAAGACAAGCATGATACACAATGCATATAATATTGATATTATAAAACATGCATACACATACGACACTACAAATAAGTCTGCTATTATTGATAAGACTAATACCTTGAATAATATATTTGATAAGAATATGATATACATGCATAAAATAGATATTGTATGACATGCATATGATAAAGACAAGTATATTAATTTCATAGAGTAATATAGGGGTGTAAAAATGGGTATTCGGGTCAAATCGGGTCAAACCAAGAATTGACCCATATCTAATTTAGCTAACCCAAACTTGACTCATTTTGGTAAATGGGTCCAAAAGTGAAACCCAAACCCGACCCATATGGATTACCGAGTTGAACCGACCTAACCCGCGTGGCCGAGTGTTTGTGAGCTGGCGAGACTTGAGATCATACTTCTAGGGTGAACGCAGGCACAGGGGATGATGCAGGCCTGGGCTTTTGTGCGCGAGAGTACAGGCACAAACAAGGGTAAGTATATAGGTGCAAGTTCTGGGAGCGGGCGCGAGCACAGACCATAAAGCGCACACGTGAGCTTGGTGAAAACCTCTATGAGTGCAAATACAACTTGGGTCAGTTTTCGATTAATTTTAGATTTTAAGGCCAACCCGAACTTGACCTAATTTTAGAAATGGTTAGTATCTTAAACCCAAACCTAACCCGTTTGGCAAATAGGTTGACCCGAACCTATAATTTTTTTAGTTAGGTTCGAGTTGGGTCAAGTATTGATACTGCTAGAGTAATGAATAAACTATTTTATAACTCATATGCATAAGAATTATATAACCTACTAGTCCTTTATATGGTATTGATCACTGCTCATAAGATATATAATTGTACTCATTTTATTGCTTATATGACATGTCACTGATCACATTGACTGTTATCTTTTTTTTTATAGTTATATGTTTATATTGATGTCAATTTAATGATTCATGCATATTATTTTCACTGTTTTGTATTGATTGGAATTATAGGCTCTGATAACCTACATAGTTATTCATTCACTTTGTGATTTTTATATGTTTTCAAGAATTGGTCAGGACCTAATGGAGTGAGATAGATCAGACTTTCCCAAGTTTTCAATTATTATTTTTTTTATTTTTAGTTTATTCATTTGTGGTCAGGAGTTTAGAATGATAAACTAATGTATTGATTAACCTCCTAACTATTGCATATAAATTTTGTAAAAGGAATGAAATTAAATAAGTATTTTGATGAATATGATTTATAGTTGCTTCCTCTTAACTAATTTATATTAATGGATTATTAGAAACTCTAGTCGATTAATTATGAGATAGAATAAATAATTCTTTTAAATTTTGATTTTTGGGCATTACATGTCGCCCGACTATGATCCTGCACTCATAATCTCTCGATTACAATCTTTCGATCACTATCCCTTGACTATTATCCTTTATCAATCGTCATCTGACTATGGTCCTCCAATTACCATCTCTTGACCTATATCAGCTAATTATAGTCCTTCGACCATTATCACCCAATTGTGGTCCTCTGACCCTATAACCCGACTATGATACTTCAACATCCATCACTCAATTATGGTCCTCCAACTAATACTTCGATAAGTGTTACACGACTATGGTCTCCCACTCATAATCGCCCAACTATAGTCATCTGACTACGATTACTCAAATATGATCCTTCGGTAACTGTCACTTAACTATAATCTTCTGACCAATTTTTCTCAACTATGATCCTCCAATTTCTGACCATTCTTGCCCAACTATGATCTTTTGACAACCATCACAAGTCCAATCCTCTAACTACAATCACTCGACAATAGTAATTTGGCCTTCTTCGCCCGACTACCATCCTTTGTCTTCCATCATCTGACTATAATACTTCAACAATGTCATTCGACTATGTCCTCTATCACTCAAACATAGCCATCTGAACACTATCCCATAACTACAATCCTCCAACCAATATTGCCCGACCACCATCACTCAGCTTCAGACCTTGAATCAGGGTGGGTTTGATGGTGATAATTTGACATCAAAGATTGGATAATGGTGGTTAAACATCAATAATCGAATGGTGGTCAAAAGGAAATGTTTCGATGGTGGCGTTCAAACAATGGTGGTCAAATTGAGGCAAGGTGGTCTAATAGTGCTAATTAAATGTTGATGGCCTGGTCGCAGTTATCTAATGTGACTGCTTAATGTTAGAGCTCTTTCCAATTCTCCTCCTCCCCCCCCTCCCCCCCAACTCAGTGTTTAACGAAACGCAGCTCATCTTGATTTGTTGATTGAAAATTTTGACTATCAACTAAGAAGATTTGAATTTAAAGCCTACAGTATAATATGTGTGAGTTTATCTTAATGATGTGCAACAACAACAAGTCAATCATATTTTACTTTGTAAGAACAAACGAAAAAAAATCACATCAGCAGATTAATTGCATTTTTGAATTTACATTAAAATTAATACCATATATTACTCTAAAGACTATATTATTCTCAATATAAATGTAAAAATACTAAAAATTATTCTGCAATAAATTTAATCAAAACATTATTATGCATGTTTTTTCCTGAACCAATAATTGTCATAAGCTCTTCTGAAAAAACACAATCATGATTCTCATTCAGGCCAATGCATACGCTAAACTGAGGTTTCGTTTGGGACAACTTTCTTACTGATTTATAAAGCATTTTTTTAGTACAAAAATTTTTATTTCAATAATTTTTGTGCTAAAAATTTATTTTAAAAAACAATAAGAAAATTATCACAAACAAAATCTGAGTGTTTAATTCAACTACTATCACATGATAAGCACCTGAAGTTGTTGAAGCTAATTAGAAAATAAAAAGAAAGATAGCCATAGAGCTCACATCATTGTATGTTTTCCATACAGAAAGTGTTTGATGCTAAGAACATGGTGAACATACCAAATCACACAGGAACAACCAGCTATACAAAACTTTCATATTAGGTGAGAAAATCCAATTTTAGGCAAGGTTTTTTTTTTTTTTTTTAGATCATTGGTCAATTAAGACAAACTCACACACACATCATATATATAAGACTCGAACCCTAAACCTCTCGGTTGATAGCCAAAACTTCCAACCAACAGATCAAAATGAGTTGCATTTTTCAGGCCGATTTAATACCAAATCTATATTAACTAACTCAAAACCAACTCTAACCACACCAGCTCAAATCCTCTCAATTTTAACCAGGCTCAAAATTGAATTAAACAGGCTCAATTTATTATTACTTTTTTCCTCCCTTTCTTTAACTGTTTCTAAATATTTAATGTGCATATATAAATACTTATAATACACAATACTTACATACATAGAATATTTTAAATTTCGAAAATATATATACTGTTAAGTTTGACTATACTCTGAATTGGACCAAGCAGAAAATATGGCTCATGAGTCACTCGTTGAGCTTACTTCGAGCTCGATCCAAGCACAAAAGTTAATTTAATCTTCTACTTTCAAACTTTGAATTAAAATCTTAACCTTTGTTCCAAGCCAGCGTGCTTCAACGTATAGGCTTCACTGCAGAAAAGAAAAGAATTCATGCAAACGCAAACTGCTTGCTTTCTTTTTTTTGTCAATCACTATATGCTTGCAGGGTGGCAACAAAAATGCCCAGTTTGAACCTTCTGTCTGTTTCCAGACTCTGCTTATAATTGCTGGAGAGATTATTCTGTGCAGACGTTGAATGTAATTCACCGTCCAGAGATCAATCAGAATGCGTTACATCAGCAATACTGAGCAGGGTACTGAGCCGCGGTACTGAGCAAGGAGTGACATGACGCATTCTAGTTGATCTCTTGATAGCGTTCGGCGTCCGCAGAATAATTTCACCAACTGCTAGGGTATTTCGAAAGCTTGAATATTCTGCTTTTGATTTGGAATGGAAAGGGAAGCTGTATACCAAATTTTATGATCTGAATTGGAAGAGCGTTTAAGTACCAGAAGAAGAATTATATAAACTTGAATATGATGCACAATAGTGTTCTTGAAGCAGAAAACACATCAACAACAAATAATAATAATAATAATCAGCACAAATGCAACCAAATTACACGTATTTAATTAAAGGCAAGAATGTTTCTGCACATTTTTCAATGTATCAAATATTTGGCGAAGACTCTACAACAATACTATACATGGCCCGATTATAGATAAACATATCTTAAAAGGAAAATATATGGTAGGAGTAAAATGATTAGAAAAAGAATTTTATTAAGGTGTAATCAGGAACCTATTAACAGGCAAGCCCATCCTATCTCAACTGCATATAAACATACAAAGCTCAAATATATGTACCTACTTGTGAGCGTTCACGATTACATCATAAGAAGATTATTCACGGTAATATTGATGTTGTTGGTCCGTAATAGATCCTGAGAACATCAAAGAAAGCACAAAATAGATCCAAGTGAAGTTTCCAAAACTGGATCAAAAGGAAAAGCATTAAAACTTTTTTAAACTTACCTGAATAATTAGTTCATCGGGCATGTGCGGTAGAACCTCTCTTACTCTATCTACCATGGCAAGCAGGTCTGAAGGCGGTGTGGTGTTTCTAAATCTAAGGCCAGAGACATTCCTGTTATGATTCAGAGAAGGTTGAGAAGGAGAGGAGCCTGAAGCATGGAGACTCGGCCATAAGTTCCAAGCTGAAGCATCTGGAGAAGACCTATGGGCATAATTTTCACTAACAGATGCTAACTGCCTCATCATCATTTGCACTCCAGTTAGCCCGACAGATCTAATTGCACTGGATGTGCTGGCATCATCCATTCTGGAATTTGACCAAGGAGACGCCCAGCTAGAATCAAGGCTTACTCTGCTGTAGTAGAAAAAATGGGGAGTAAGATAATTAGGCATGAAAAATAAGCTAATATTAATGCATAAATGACCCAGGCCAGTACTTTCTACAGTGTAAATTAGAAAAATATATGGGCAAAATATGAGGTCTGACCATTCAAACAAGCAGAAATAAGAACCCAAGGACTAGCCAGTCACAATGCAAATATTTGGAAGTGATTGGTGTTAGGATAGTGATGAAATTTAGAGTGAACTCAAATTAAACCAACGAAAGAAAACACCAGAGATTAAAATTCGAAAACACGTTTGCATGGTTATGTGAGATTCAACTGCGTCCATGACTACACCAGTTATCAAATATTCCACTTAAATTTTTAAAAGAGTACATCAAACATTTCGTTTGATACAAATTTAAGACAAGAATAAAGATGTCACTTTCTCTCTCTCAATGATAAAGAGAGATCACTTCCACCTATTGTGAAAAAGAGAGCTGAATGTGGAGAAAAATATGCTAAAAATGTTGCAATTACCATCTTCCTTTCTCAGTTGGAAGAGCTACTTTCTTCGCTCCCTTCTTTATTGAAAGAGCATCTTTTTATAATAGTTGAAAGCTTAAAACCCTCACCTCTCTCTCTCTACCCATCTTTATATTCTTGTAGTTGTAAGATGCTTCTACACAATGCAATCATCTCCTTATATAGTGCTTAGAATTGATAGGTAGCAAGTTTGAATTTATTAGGTGGATGATGGTAAGTATTCTAATGTAAATGTTAGATAGGAGATGATAGACAATAAATTTGTAAAGGGTGGCAGGTAAAAAATTGTATGAGTTAGATAAGGAAATTTATCTTCATAATTTACCAAATCTCTCACGTATCAACTTTTTATGTACTAATTTAGCGCTCAAGTGTCTAAACACTTCTCCGTGCAATTCCTCTATATCATCATTTCTGGAGATTAACTAAGGCTTTACATAACCTCAACTTTTCCAGTGAGTGTCACATTTGTGAACATATCAAGGAATTTTCTGCTCTTTTGATTTTGAGAAAGACATAAATCATCATCTTCAAGTAAGTTGCGAATATAGTGGATCTTGAATTATATGTAGTTTCTTCGTGAGTAGAAGTTATTATTCTTTACATGGTGAATAACACTTTTGACTGTCGAGAAATATCTTGTTACGATCAGTTCAATTCATATAGAAAATATTTAAGTCAGACAATCTCCTTACTAACTTCAATGACAACCATATATGCAACTTCGGTCATTGACAATACAACTATTTTCCATTGTTGTGCACCTAACTGATGGTGATGCCACCTAAGAAGTCAATATACATAGTAGTGTAATACTCCGTGTATTCAAACATCCTGTCATATTAGAAACAATATATCCCTATAGTTTCAATTTAGCTTTTCTAAATGTTAATGAAAGATTAATTGTACATCTCAGGCGGTGAAAAAATCTATTTTGCAGCCTCCCAGTATTTATCTTATAGATTTGACAAATAATGACTTAAAACTCCCACTACATATACAATGTATGATCTCATGCAAACCATTCTACATATTAAAGAGCCAGTTTCTGATGCGTAAAAGACTTTAACTATATAGTCTTTCTCCTCATATATCTTGATAATTATTCCTTTAAGAACTTGAAGTGACATGCTTACCATATTTCCTTTCATCATATTGAAGCAATTCAACACATTATCAATGTTCTGAGATTATCATAGGTTTAAAATTTCTATACCATTATCATGATCTATTATCATTCCAAGAATCTTCTTGGCTTTTCCAAAATTCTTCATGTCAAATTCTTTTGACAATTATTTTCCCAAATCATTGATTTTCTCAATATCTGCTCCTGTAATATACATCATAAACATATAAAAGCAAGATAATAAAATCTTTTTCAGTTCCGCTTATAGAGAACACTGATCAGTATTGCATTTGCCAATGTCAATCTTAAGCATTAATCCAACAAACTAGCAAATTAGATTTATTAAAATAAAAAAAATATGCATAACACTTAATGGTGCTTCAATGAATAAGTAGGGGAAAACAAATCAAATTAAAATAGTATTAACAAGCAACTAAAGAAAATCGTTCAAGTTAATAATTCCTACTAAATTCAAAAATTTACAACACAAGCACTTGACTACTAGATATGGATAGTTTGACTAAAATTTGGTGAAAAGGTAATACTTAGATTGATTTTAAATTTTTTTATAAACCATAGGTATGGCATTGTGAATCCTTATAGCAACCCTTAATTAAATTAAATTTAGGTTACTTGATGGGAAAAACAATCAAGTATTCAACATCATTACTAAGGTATTCTGAAAATTAAAAATTAAAAGAGAAAAAGAAGAAAAGCAAAAAAGAAAAGAGAAAAAAGAAAAAAAAAAAGTATCGGAATTAGGGGTGTCAATTTTTGACCCGACCCAGAAAAATCCGGGTTCGGGTTCAATAAACTGACCCGTTTCAAAAATCGGGTCGGGTTCGGGTCAACCCGGGAACCCAAAAAATGACCCGAAATTGACCCGGAAATGGTCCCTGCCCGGATGCCCACATTGACTGCCCGATGCGTCAAGTCGCGTCGCTTCGCAGTTCGGGAATCACAACGAGTGCCAGGCTACCAGTGCTCCGTTGCCCACTTCGGCTTTATCGTTCTTGGTTCGCTTGCTAGTGCGGTTAAGCCCTCTTCGGCTTCGCCGCTCGCGTGCCAGCGCAGCAAGGCCCGCTTCAGTTAGGGTTCAGTCGCTTTGTCGCTCGCGTGCCGAGGTGCAGCTGCCGCCTGCGCGCTACCGCTACTCGTCTGCTGCCGCCACGCCTGCTGTCGATGCCGTCTGCCGCTTCGAGTTTAATTAACCGGGTCGGGTCATGTCAACCCGGCAACCCGCGCGGGTTGAGTTCGGGTTGAGATAGCCAACCCGTTTACAAAAATGGGTCGGGTTCGGGTTGACCCATTTAGAACCGAGTCAACTCGGGCTCGACCCGAACTCGACCCGTCAACCCGAATTGACACCCCTAATCGGAATATCAAAAACTTGTACCTGAAAAACCTAACTCCTAAAGGACCAAAGATTAAATTAAAAAAAGGAAGTACAAAGTACTAATAGATAGTGATTGTTTGTAATTGAATTGCAAAATTAATTAAAGTGTGAAAATTTCCTTAATTATAAAGCAATCAACATAGCTATCAAGCTACGTAGTCAATAAATTGCACCTACACATGTAGGAGATGAGCTTAGTACAAATATTAATACTACAACAACAACAACAACAACGAGCCTTTGTCCCACTACGTGAGGTCGGCTACATGAATCCTTTTCGCCATTGTGTCATGTTAAAAGTCAAATTCTCAGTTAAATCTAATAAATAAAGATTATTTCTAATATTTTCTAACCAAGTCTTTTTAGGTCTACCTCTACCTTTCTTAACATAAGTCAAATCTAATACCTTAACTTTTCTAACCAGGTCATCGGAAGGCCTCCGTTTAATATGACCAAATCATCTAAGGCGACTCTCTCTAATATTATCTTCCACTGGAGCTACTCCAACCTTTTCACATATATGCTCATTTCGTATCCTATCTCTAAGGGTAAAGCCACTCATCCACCTGAGCATCCTCATCTCTGCAACACTTAACTTAGTATTATGTTTCTCTTTTAATGGACAAACATTCAGCACCATAAAGCATTGCAGGTCTCACCACCATTTTATAGAATTTTCCCTTAAGTTTGAGGGGGACTTTTCCATCACATAACAAGCCCGATGCATTCCTCCACTTCAACCATCCAAGTTGAATTCTGCTGATTATATCCCCATCTATTTCACCATTACTCTGAATAATATATCCAATATATCTAAAACGTGTACTCTTAATAATGACTTGATCGCCCAAAGTCACTATCCCCTCACTACGTATATTGCTACTAAAATTACACTCTATATATTGAGTTTTAGATATACTCAAGCGAAAACCTTTAGACTCTAAGGTTGACCTCCATAATTCAAGTTTACCTTCAACTCCCACTCTAGTCTTATCAACAAGAAGAATATCATCAGCAAAAAGCATACACCCAGGTACATCCTCTTGCAAATGTCTAGTGAGAACATCCATGAGTATAGAAAAAAGATATGGGCTTAAAGCTAATCCTTGATGTAATCCAACCGAAATCGGTAAATACTTGGTCAAGCCACCTTGTGTTTGAACACAAGTAATAGCTCCTGCATACATATCTTTAATGATTTGAATATAAACATTATTAACTCATTTCTTTTTAAGAACTCTCCATAGCACTTCTCTTGAAACTTAATCATATGATTTCTCTAAATCAATAAATATCATATATAGATCCTCCTTATTCTCTCTATATTTCCTCATCAAATCTCTCAATAAATGTATGGCTTCCATAGTAGACCTACCCGGCATGAATCCAAATTGATTTTGAGAAACATTAGTAACACAGTGCAACCTACGCTCCATTACTCGCTCCAATAGTTTTAAAGTATGACACGTTAATTTAATTCCTATATAATTCACACACTCCTGTGTATCACATTTATTCTTAAAAATAGAAATTAACATACTCATTCTCCACTCATCTGGCATCTTTTTAATCTTCAAAACATTATTAAAAAATTTAGTAAGCCAAGAAATTATTTCATCTCCTAAGCACTTCTACACCTCTATTGGAATATCATCAGGTTCAACATCATTTCTACACTTCATTTTCTTTAAAGACAATCGAACTTCAATTTTATTAGTACGCCGATAAAAACAAAAATCTTTATTTTCATTTAGGGTGCTAAAGTCACTAAAGTCAATCGTATTTTTACATTCTTCATTAAAAAGTAGCAAAATATGTCATCCACCTTTGTTGAATATCATCTTTTAAGAAAAATATTTTTTGATTTTATCCTTAATACACTTCACTTGAACTGAATCCTTACTACTCATATCTCTTTGTTTAGCTAGCTTATACATTTATCTTTTTATCTCCTTAGTATC